TGGTGGATGTGGCGCAAGGGAGGAGAATGTGGAGCGGATATGTTGTGGTGTGCAGTTTAGGCCGGCGTGGCCGCCTTTAAATAGCGGATTCTAGTGGAGCCAAGTGTTTGGGTGTGTCAATGCGCGGCGCTGGAGTTGGTTCCTTGGCCGTCGGGCCTGCTTAATGGCATCATACAGCCAGACGGGAATTGAACGGGTGTGGTACATATCCGTCCCGTCCACTAAACTTGTCTTCGGCGTTGAACAGGCATGGACACCGGAACGCAATGCGGCGGCGCTCTTGGCCAGCTCGCCGCTTCAATGCCGGTGCGAGTGAGAAGTCGCATCCGCTCTAGATCGGCTTCAATGCGGAGCGGCCGCTCCACGATGGCATGAATGCAGGCAACTGGCGCCGGAAGTGAACGCACGCGGCCGAGGGAGAAGAGGTTTTGGTGGGTCAGGGTAGTCAGAAGCGGGTGTGGCAGTTCGAATGCGTGCACCCTTTTCCCTCACTTTGTCTTCAATTTGTGGGGGAAAACGCGTCTGAATCGACCTATGAAGCGATACAGAATCATGTTGGATGACAAAACACGTTCGAAGGTTTTGAGGATTAGCATTGAAGATGCTCTTATTGCACACGTTTGTGGCTAGTCAGGCCAGCCTTGTGCCACAAGGGTGTTAATAGTTTTACTGGGATGTCGTAAGTAATACGTTCATTATCCGATACTAGAATGCGCCTACCAATTGCCCACTTTCTAGAAGCCATCTCTCTAATATAGCGACACAAAATTGTAGCTATGGGTTAGAACTAAGATTAACGAGACACAATCGTGTGCCACCATGGTGCGTGTGGTGTGCTCGGCCTTCTAGTCATACTAGATGATGCCTTGCGCCTTCCTGCGAAAACGGCATATATGTCTATATTTATACATAATATTACAGAACAGTGTATTTCTCTGTTTTTTGTCCATTCATCTATCCTAAGTTGTCTATAATATTGAAATAAATTAACCATCATACCACCTGTAAGTGAGAAAAAATCTATTCATTAATTGTTTCTTTGATTTTCTCGCCAGTCATTGAAACTGCCCTTAAAGTTAAAGAAAATTACCCCCACCACCCGTAAAAGTGAAAAAAGAACTCTTCATTAATTGTTTCTCTGAATTTTTCATCTGTCATCCAAACTGCCCCCTAAAGTTGAAGTAAATTACCAACATCGTCACCCGTAAAAGTGAAAAAAAAACGAGTGTGTCTCCAAATTATTCGTATGTCATAGGGCTCTCCAGTTTCATCCATCATGAGACTGAATTTTTCTTTTCCTTCTCATATACGCGTCGAGGATGTACTAAAAAAACAAAATATACGCATCAAGGATCACGTCCAACACCGATCCATTGTGAGCATGTTAGAATGCACATGTCTTATGTCCGCATGTGCACAGGTTGATGCACAAATGTTCAAATACATGTATATAAATGTAGTGTGAATATTGAAAACTTGATTTGAAGACCGTGATTTTATTATCCCATTATAACGCACGGGCCTTTTTGCCAGTTAAAACAAATGTCTAAATATGTGCTTGAAAACAACTAAAATTAATTGAAAAAGAAACAAATGTAAGATAGCTCTCAGTTTACTTTTTTAAAATAATAAAAGTAATGAAGTATGTGACAATAATGATGTATAAGAACCCACAAATGTATAAAAAAAACTTTTTTATTGAGCTTAATATGACATCATCTTTTAAGAAAAACATGAAGCATGAGTTATATATTTGTAGTTATCCTAATTCAGTAAGATTAAGACTGATTAGCATGCAACACAAAGAGTGCACTCTTTAAAATGCTATACTCTATACTATCACTTAACTAAAATAAAAGCTCTAAATAAACAGGCATGGGTACATATTTTCGTCAATTGTTATTTAAGGATAATCAATTAATGGGGAACAGAAGGATGATGTAGCCATTACAGAAAGACTATTGACAACTCTCCTGGATCATTGTAGTCATTAAAGATATGTCGAGAGGATGTGATATGCTAAAAATTACACCATTCTCTAGAAGCCTGGGGCTTATGTGTGGTTCCCAAAATAAGATTCCCCCTACCCAGCTTATTCTGACAGCTCCTAAAACTTTATTCTAGAAACCTATTAGATAAATTTTATCTAATAGGTTTCTAGAATAAAATTTTAGGTTGGGCTGCCAGAATAAGTTGTGTAGGTGGCAGACACCTATAAGCCCCAAAAGAACCGTCCATGAAGTCTGATTGTTTTGAGCTTGTTTCCATAGCGCTTTATGTTCAGGCTGAGTGAATATAAGTCATGGAGAGCGTGTACTCTTTAGTGCCTATGAAGGTATATTACATCAATTTAGCTGGTCGTCGGTCGCTTGAATTTGAAATTTGGGTTAGTCGATACTTTTGGGAAGGAAGCAGCAGCCACGCGGAGCACCTAGGTCACCGACGGCGATGCTGGGGCGAATGAAGCGAGGCCTAAGGACACGAGCAAGGCCTCGGCCAAGAACGTGCCATAGCCGGCGGTAGCCGGCGGAGGCGGGTAAGAAACTTGATGGTTCGGGATAGAAGGTGCAGGGCTCACTAGAAAAATCTGGTGCTTCGCCAAGGTGTCCGAGAGGCGGCATAAGAATGACTGTGGGCGTCAGTGAGGGAAGGGCGGCGAGGCGAGGCTGGCACGGGAGCAAATTTGAGAGGAAGAATGAGAAGGCATAAGGTTGAGGAAGGCCATCTAGCCGTTGGTTTTGCATCCGACGACCGAAAATGAATCAACTAACGCAAAATAAGTTTTCATTTGGTTGACCTCTGGACTATCCGATATTATATAGTGAAATAAATGTGCTATGGATTATGTAGATGTGGAAGCAAATAAAGAAGTGTCAAAAATGGTTTAAACCAAACTGATACCACCACTATAGGAAAAATAAATAAAGCCAAGTATGAAGTATACTCGGCAAAGAGCATTTTAATCTCTGCGAAGTGTAAGGCGAGTGTTGCACTCGGCTTACAGTACTCGGCTTGATATGAATTGGCTTGGGCAATGTAAGCCAAGTGTCCTTCACGGGTACTCGGCTTATGTGTTAGCCGAGTATAAACCAGTGGCTCTCGGTAAAAAAGGCGGGATCAGGGCCGGTGCCACCTAATGGCGGTGCCATGTGGCATTTCTATAAGCTGACCAGCTATATGGCTAAGCCATGTGTCCAGCTGGCCTCGCGGCTCCTTCAGACTTTGGAATGAACGGAGCACATACCACGATATCTGAAAACAGCTGTGTCTATTCTCCTCAACTAGCTAGTTGAGTGAAATGTTATGTGATTGATTCATAGAGCACCGGGAGGTGCAAGTCTGGCCCCAGAGGTCCTCGCAAGAGAAGGATACCATTATGTATGTTAGGGTAGGATTTTTGGTAACCATTTTGGGGTAAGAGCCATGTATCAACTGTTTTCTTATTAGTGCGCACCCTTTTAAGTTCAGCTTTTGTAATTAATCCATCAGCAGGGCAGCAGGCAAAGTATTCGGTGTCATTGGTTGTTTGAACATGACATCTGGGATGCACCTTCTGCAAGTGAAAGCCGAAACATAACAAACATACGGAAGCCGACTGTCCTTTGATCAAATCGCGTTAAGATTCAAAACAACTAATCATTTTGCATGTGATCCTAATATGGGTACGCTAAGGGGTGTGAAGAGTATAGGACAATACCTTACAAATTCGAAGTGGCAAAATATTGATAATTAATTAGAGAGAAATCACAAAACTAGTGGATCGAAAGGGCGAAGAAAACTAGAGTATACAGAATGGGTAATTGGGGAAAGAAACAAAATGCAATGACTAAATATAAATGCAAATGTATAAGATTAAAAATCATTGTTTGCACTAAAAAATAGGTTTAAAAAAAGTGCATGTGTAAGCCGAGTGCCGTTTATCGAGTACTCGGCTTATATATAGCACCGTCACGGAGACGTCTGCAGCCGCCGTGATGGCCACATGATAGGAACCTTTGCCGAGCAATGGCTGTAAGCCGAGTGCCTCTTAGGTTGGTTTAAGCCGAGAATGTTTTAACACTCGACTTACACGTTAATACTCGGCAGCATGTAATTTCCCTGTAGTGCATAATACAGTACATTATTTGATTATTATTTGTATTTATTTACAAACAAGAGGTGGAGGTTATGGATGTGTGCACCGCATGATGCGGAAGGCGGGGTAAAACCTCCTTTTCGAAAAAATAAGAGATGGATGTTTCGATGTGAACATCTACATACAGAAGAATTGGCTTTGCAAAAAAGGCATAGGGAAGAATTTATTGGGATTCTGTGTCCAAGAAATAATTTATTGGGATTTTATTCCTGCTGCTTTTTCCTTTTCCACAAGCTTTTCTCTTCTGCATCGCCAGCACAACCACCTGTTGCAACCTCCCCATCACTTCAAATTATTACAGTTATTCAGTTGGTATCACTATCCCAATAACGACAGAGGAAGGTAATAAGTCACGTGTTTTATGCACGGTACAGAACAAGGAGCAGCAGCGACAGGGGGATCCTATCCTATTGGAAGGCCGACTGGACCACACAACTACAGAGAACCACCCACAGATTTGCTTTACAAGAATTATTGATGAGGCTTAGCTATCTGTTGGCTATGATGCTACGCCTGCAGCTGCTTCGCTGCATGGCATGGCTAGTACTGCATGTGTCCATGTCTCGCCTAGTAATATGCTGTTTTCATCCTTGTAACTCGGGCAGTAACTTTGTAACATACCGTATGCGGCCATTCTGGAGCAGTGTATCTCACCATAGTATGTCTTTGCCTTGCTTATGAGTAGTAGTACTTATATAGTAAATTGTGCCCCGGTAAAAAAATAGCAAAAGAAAAGGGAGAAGAAGCTCTATGCGAGGTTTCATACTTTCATTCTAGACATAAAATGAGTAAGAAATCACAAGAACCCAGTAATAAGGCGAATAGACCATAAGTTTGCAGTGACAAGAACCTCGATCCAGTAATATCAGAGCTTGAGAGACAGATCGATCTCCTCGGTGATGAGGTCCCGGCGAGCTGCCTCCGGCGGCGACACCCTCCTGTGCGAGGAGCTCCCCGCGGCATTGCTGGTCGGGTCCTTCCCTCCCCTGCTGCCCTCCTCGCCGGCGCCGACCCGGCCCGCGTGGCCGTGGCGGCGCGCGGCGGCCAGCTCCCGCGTGCGTTTGGCGACGCTGCGCTCGAACTTGTGGGCGTTCTGGTGGCCGCCCAGCGCTTGGGAGGAGTAGAACTTCTTGTCGCAGTAGGTGCAGGTGAAGTAGCCCAGCGGCTCCGGCGACGACGCCCGATGCAGGGAGAGGTTGAGGTCGATGTCGCACTCTCCCTCGCCGCCGTTGGACTCCATATGGCGAACGGCCAGCAGGCGGTAAAGGCGCAAAGGTGGTGCGAACGGGGGTCTCAGCAGGTGCAAACTAGCTAGCTAGCTTGTGTATTCTAGTTGTCGAGGAGAATCGATGCGTACGGCAGTGCCCCCAATTTCCCACCCAAATGATTTAAGCGGTACAGCACAACCCTAGAAGGGAGTAGAGAGGAGGAGAGGAAGTAGGTGTACGAGGGTAGTATTGTACGCTTGTTCTAAGGAACACACGTACTGTGCAGGATCTATCAGGGTGAGAAAGAGGAAAACGATGAAAAGGACAAGAGATTTCATGTACCGATGGATCAGCCAGTAGACGAATAGGATTGCTCGCCAGCAGATTGGGGTACTGCTATCCGCTGGATCTTGGACCGAAAGCTGTGGACCTACGACAAAGAAAGAATTGTTCACCCACTGGTCTGACCGTCACCGTATGCCCCAGAGCTTGCTCAAGTATCCGCAATATTTTCACGCGAGAATTGTACAGCCACTCATCAATTAAATAGTTAGAAATATCGCAAAAAATGTTAAAAGAAAAGAAATATGTTTACTTAAGAATTATGAAACTTTGAGTGTTTGTTTCTGATTCTTGCGGTTGCTCGTCTAACCATTGAGAGATGAGGCTCACTTTGTTTTTATTTATTTTTTCTTGGATGCTGGATACACTTGTAAGACAGACTTGTCTTGATAATAGGGATGTATGTCCATGGCACTTATTTCGGAACTGAGGGAATACAAATCACCTCACTATATATGGTAGCATCTGATAGCCCACAAAGTATAGGAGACCACAACAGCCTTCGTTGGAAAATATTTCAACCCTAATTTCTATTCGACATGATGGAAGCGAGAGAATACTTGTAAGTTTTGACAGTTGAGTTATCAATTCAACCACACCCGAAACAAGTACTTGCTCATAGAAATTATTAGTAACAATGATAAGATGATGAATGGAGTGGTGTATGTAGCATCAAAGTAACATAAGCAGAAAAAACAACCGATAGTTGCAAAGTACAAGTAACTTAAAGAGAGAAACCAATAGCGTGAAAAGTAAGCATAGGGGTGGATATTGGGACGTTATATGGATGATACCAAATATGTAACATAATGATCAACTAGAATAAAATCGTTACCTCATGTTCTTGAATTATTGTAGGCACGTTAGACGGGCTTATTTTCTTTTTTTAACACTTACATACACTCGTCCTTATGAGCGCATGCACGCAAACCCTACCCATGTGAGGACCTCCGAGATACTGAGCTGCCGTAACATCTTAAGATTGACGAAGTCACCACAGGCGCCTTCGTAGTTAATGGGGACGTCTCCTCCCACTGAATGAATATTGCCAAAATGCCTGAAATAACTAAATCTTGGAAAATACAGGCGCTAGTGTCTAGAATTTGAATTCTGGTGGGATGGTTCTACCACAAGGAACCTAATCATATGAGCTACGCTCAATTCACACATGCTTATTTCTCAGAACTTGCTTTTAATTTATCTGCAGTCTTCTTCAGAAACTAAGGGTAACTAAGGTGACCTTTGGGATAGACCGGAACAATGCATTACCAACAGTGAACACATAGAATTCTCAAACTATAGCTACTCCCACTGATATCCCATATTGTCACCACCGGGGCCTCTAGTTCCAAACTACCGTAGGTTTATATGACTTGCGAGTATGAAAATGAACAATCATATTACAGGGACATAAATGGTTTAGATCTAAAATTGTATTACTTGGGTCCTAGTAATAAGCATTGGGCACAAACAAAATCATAGCAAAATCAATTCTTGAACAATCATGACACTTCAGATCATTCTCCCATCAGTCCAATATATTACATAATGTATCTCATCCAACACATGTGTCTAAAGTGTATTACTCACACATGGCCTGGATTCTGGAATTGTGGAATTCTACCTCTTGTTCAGGCGAGTTTCACGGCGATGCTGGTGGTCGATGGCAGTATCTCAATCGGTTGTTTGTAGGGCCCCCAAAGGACTCAGATTGTAATATCCCTTTTCTTGGGGGCTTTTTTTGGCATAATTTCTAGGGCATGTGTCCTATCCCAGCCTGTCTAGATGATTCTGCGTCTGTGTGTATTTTGTACTCTGTTATTTTGTTAATGTAATTATTAAATTATATTGTTGGGCCTTCCAGTTCAGACTTGTTGGACGCATTGGCTGGAGCATTGATTGAGCATCTTCAATAGACGGTTCATGTGTAAAAATATCTAATTTTTGGATCTTCGAGAGCAGAAAACACTGCTCCAACAGATAGTCCATATGTAAAAAAATTGGACCACCGTCACCGGAGATGTAAAATTGAAAACTTCGTGATGCAAATTTACATCACGAGATACAAGTGATGTAAAACTGTGGCCGCCCACCAAACGACCAACCGCCACTTCATTCCCCTTCCGCCTCGCGACCGCCCGCCCGCTCCCTGCCCGCCGCCGCCCGCCGCAGCTCCCCGACGCCGCCCCACCGTAGATCCAGCCCCCCGCCGCTGATTCCACCCCGCCTGGCCGCCGCCTGCCGCCGCGCCGCCCCATCGCATCCGCATCCGCTCCGGCCGCCTCCGCAGCGCCCCGACCCCGTCCGCCTCCTCTCCGGTCGCCTCTGCCTCCGCTCCGTCCTCCGTCCGGCCCCGCTCCCTCCACCACCGCCCGGCCCCGCTCCGTTCGCCTTCGCTCCGTCCGCCTCCACCCGACCCCGCTCCATCCGCCTCCTCTCCGGCCGACTCCGCCTCCGCCCCGCGTCGCATGCCACCACCCCACTCCCCGCCGGCCCCGCTTCGGCCGCCTCCGCCTCTGGTCCATCCGCCGCCCGCTCCGTCCGCCTCTGCCCCGCTCGGCTGCCACCCCGACTCGCTCCCCGATGGCGGCGAAGAAGACGCCGAATGGCAAGTCCGATTTCTTCGACGTGAGGGCGAAGCCCTCCAGGAACTTCAGAGTGGAGTTCTTCGACGTTGGGCGGCGTTGGTGGCTAGGCACGTGTCCCACCGCCGATGAGGCCGCGCATGCTTACGACGTGGTGGTGTGGCGTGCCGGACAGCCAAAGACGGACCTCAACTTCCCGTAGGTCGAGACCCAAGCGGTGGCGGAGTGGCTCGTGCCGCAGGGCATCCGAATGGAGGAGATGCCAATGAAGAAGGCGAAGAAGAGATCAGCGGTTGTCGTCGCTCCCGGTGAGAGCGACGAGACGATGATGGCTCGGTTTGCGTGAGAGCATCCGCAGTACGTCTAGGCCGATCTGGAGCACTACTGGAAGCGCGACGTCGAGGCGAAAAAGAAGGGGGTGAAGAAGGAGGACGAGGCCGGCCCCTCGACTGCGGTGACTCCAAGGAGGAGGACGAGGGGTGCGATGACCCGACCAAGGAAGAGTTCTGGGAGCAGTTCCGCAGCTCTGACGACGAGGAGTAGTTTCATCTATTAGTTCAATGTAGTAGTTGAATTTATGTATGAAATTATGTTGAATTTCATGTTTGAACTATGTTGAGATGAAGTAGTAGTTGGTCGTTTTAATCTTCATTTTGGACCATCTGTTGGAGTTGCTCTTTTATTTACATCTCTGTTTTAGACCATCTGTTGGAGTTGAGTCTTTTTTGAAGATGTAAAAAGCACTTTTGATGCTTCAAATTTGGACCATCACCGGTTTGGACCACCAAAATATACATTATCTATTGGAGATGCTCCAATATATGAGATTTCTAAAAAAAAAACTTAGCCACAATGCGGCAAACAGTGTCCTCCTTTTTTTTGTGCGGGGAGGCAAACAGTGGCCTCAACACTTCCTGCACCTCAAATCATGGGTCACAAGCATCATGCGTTCTTGCCCTTTTATGACTGACTTTTCTTTCGTTACCAACATGCCTGTCCACATTTGTACTTCTCAAGTTACATCGATGCAGTTGAGACAGGAATGAGACCAAAATAAAACTAAAAGAATGCAACAGCCGTACATCAACTATTTTCTGCATTGCTCAGGTGGGACATGAAGACATTCGAAGATCCCATAGGGCACGCGGAGTATCTTGATCATGATTAGTTACTCGGACTCATATATAATTACCATGGCCATCTGAAAGTTCTCCTGGAAGCTGGTCCGCTGTGTTGAGATTATGATACCAGGGAAAACAGTTAAAAGTCTTGATCGTCAAACAGTGCATATTGTCTAAAGCAAGCACTGTTGATCAACATATGCTCATGTTTCGAAGATGTAGCCCACATCATTGTGGTTGCGCACAATGATCTGCAAGGACATGCACAGCGCGGGAACTCTGTTTAATTGCGATTAAAATTCAGAAACGCGAGGGGAACCTAAATCAGCAAGATAAAAATGAGGTTTTTACGGTGAAATCTTTCTATATAGATTTGATTAATTTTGGCCCAATCTTAAAACCCTTGCATATTTAGAAGATTAAGGTTAATTTTTATGTGGTTTGTCCACAAGTAAGTAATACTCATTAAGGACAACTTAATCAAGAGGCGATGGGTAGGTAGTTCACGTTGTTGTTTTTGTGATCATGATGAAACAATACAACATTTATTCCTTAAATCCTCGCTCGCCAAATTGCTTTGGAGAACGATTCATATAGCCTTCAACATTAATCCTTCAATTGACATTGAGTCATTATTTGGAACGTGGTTAGCTGGGGTTGAACACATTACTGCGGCTCGTATTCAAATTGGAATATGTGCGCTTTTGTGAGCTATATGAAACTGTAGGAATGATTTGGTCTTTAACAGACAACACAATTTAACTTTCTTGCAGGTCATCTTCAGAGCTACCGCATGGAACCGTATGTGGTCCTGAGCCTTTGGTTACTGGGTGCAACCAAGTGGGAGATGGTAGCACGGGCTATATTCACCCGGTGGACTCGCACCCGCAGAACTCCTCTCCGCCTCGGCGACTCCTGCCACCCCCCCTCCCCTCCGGCCGCCCGGCTTGCTCC